TTTTTTTTTTTTTTTTTTTTTTTTTGGTACCGGGGATCAAACTTGGGACCTTGTGCTTGCAAAGCAGGAACCACCGAGCTAAATCCTTGGCTCAAGTCCTTTTTTCTTGTTAATTTTTGTCAGTGGTTCTCACTCCCACTGCTCAAAAGAATCACCTGAATAGTGCTTAAAAAATCCAAGATTGCAATTCAGGCCAAGTAAATAAAATTTTCTCAGATGGACTCTCCAGCATCAGTATTTTTCAATTATTCAGTGATTCCAACATGCATCCAAAATCACTTCTCTATACTCTCTCTTGAGACCACACCTTCAAAAGCCTATGTAATCAAGAAGTGAATGAGCAAAACAGGCCGGGCATAAATTTTAGGAGTGGTAGGTTCTGTGAAGATCTAGAGAACAGCTATATGAGGATCAGCTGTGACTTAGCTTTAATCATTGCTGCCATTATGAAAGCCAGCATAGTCATTCCATATGCTTTCATTTTTACAGAAACGCCCCAAATTGATTTTCATGGGAAATTTTCTTCAGATTTAAAAATATTGGCAAGTAATTAAACAACAATAAAAAATGTGAAAAATAAAACCCATCTGTGAGCCAGGTTCTGTGGTTGGCAACCTCTGTCCTTGGTAATTTCACCCACACCCTTCAACTTTACCCAAAACTTGTGGTCCCAGTTCTGCCCTTGTGACACTTGTACTTGAAAAACTGAGCATTCCAGTGTGAACTGTAATTTAAACCTACCTTAAAACTATTCTTACAATGTTCCCTATTTCAGGTAACAATTCTACCATTCACCTGATAGAATAATCTAGAACTTTGGGATTCATCCTATGAACTTGTTTCTTCCCTTTAGTCCTTATATGACATCAACCACCAAATCCTATCAATTATGTCTCATAAATATACCATATTTCCTAGAAAAAAAGAGCCAACAAGAAAAGAAGCTCTAGCTTTTGATTTTTCAGGATGTTTGTAATATAAGCCCTACCCCCAAAACAAGACCCAGTTAAGATCAACCAGACAGATGCATTTGGTATATTTATTGCAAAAAGGAGAGACATATTGAATTATAAAATATAAATATATAATAATATTGAAATTAATTCTTAAAGTAAATGATAATATGAATTATAATTAAATATTTGTAAATTCCCAAGCAGGCACCTTTGGATGAGATGTAAACACCTATGTAAACAGATGAATTCAAGACTTAGTGCCAAATAACCAATTGGAGTACCAACACAAGCCACAAGTAATATGCGCACTTGATAACAAACGGATGTGGCTGTGTCTAACATGAATCTTCATAACTCAGTATGTCATGTGTTGTAACTATAAACTATAAGCAAGCTACATGGACAAGAAGTAATCACCCAAGGAGCGCTCTACTGCTGGTGAGTTTGGAGCCAACGGTTCTATAGGAAATGGGAGTTGAGAGAAATGCAGGCCAGAATTTCAGGTTTGGAGAGTTATGACAATGTTCTAGGAGAAGACATGACTGTATCTGAATAAATTTAGATTCTGGTACATGAATAAATATAGATTTTAGTGCATGAAGAAATGAATAAATGTGATTGTTATATATTAATGTAAACTGTTATACATGAAAAAAATAAGACATCCCCTGAAAATAAGCCCTATTGTGTCTTTTGGAGCAAGAATTAATGTAAGATCCAGTCTTAATTTCAGGGAAATACAGAATCTGGAGTATACATGTACTACTTCTCTCTAGCTATACTGCTATCACTGTGGTCCCAGTACCATCTTTTTTTCTCCTGGCTACCCACAATAACCTTAATTAGGGTCAGTTGTCTCCCACATTCAATCTTGTTTCTCTCGAAAGTTTAGAATCTATTTTCTAAACCATTGTCTCCGAATTAATCAGAATCTTAAAACATAAATTTTTGCAAATACATACACACATATTATATAAAAATATATGTAAAATGTATATGTGCTGCCAAAGCAAGCACTATGTATGTAAATATGCATATATGTATTTGACACAACAGTTCCACTTCTAGCAATATATCCTACAAATATATTCATATACATGTGAAATAACGTACATAATACTGTTTATAATAAAGTGGAAATAGTCTAAATGTCCATCACTAGGGGAGTGGTTAAATAATCTATGATATATCCCTACAGTGAAATACTATAGTCATTTTAAAATAAGGAAAGTATTAAAATGGAAAGAGTCCCAAGACATTAAGAGGACTATACAGTATGCATTCATTTGTGTAAACAGGCTTGAGGGTCCACTGAACATGCATTTGCTGGAATGACCATTAAAAAGTACAATGATAAACAAAACTAGTATCGGTGACTATGCTTTTTGAAGGAATGGGGGAAACAGTGACTGATGGGGGTACATAATGCAAAGAATACATTCTCATTCAATGGGCCTAAAGGAGGGCCCAGGTATTAGGTACTAAGTTCCTCCAGTGATTCTGATGAGCAGGCTGCACTAAAAATCACTGACAGTAGATAGCCTCTGCCTACTTTCCCAGTTTCATTTAGCATCATCCTGCCCCCATCACACTCCATGCTCCAGCCACAGTGGCTTCTGGGTTCCCAGAAAAGGCTGTTCCCTTAAGGGCCTTCACACCTGTTCCTTTTGTCTGGAATACTGTCTCCTTAAGCTTCATGTAGTAAGTCTCCTTTTTAACCTTTAGAATCCACCTAAAAGGTCACTTCCCAAGGACACTATCCATAGTTTCCAAATAGATCAGATTTCTTGTTTTATGTACGCAAAGCAACCTGTGCTTTTCTTTCTAGAATTTAACATAATTATAACCATGTATGTATACATGTCACCCCCTTTAGGCTCTAGGGTGCAGGAGCACAGACATCACATTAGTTACTTTTACTACCATATTCCCAGATTTAACCTAGCATCTAGCTGGCAAAGTAAGATTTCAGAGGTTTGTTAAGTGACTGCTCTTGCCCTCAAGTTTAGTACAGAAGAAATCAACACAAGCAAATGAGGACAACACAATATTACTATTAAGAGAGTAGTTTAGAATGATGAATATCAATTGGGGATGATTCTGTTCCTTTCTCAGGACATTTGACAATGTCTGGAGGAATTTTCAGGTCAAAACTGTATAAAGTACTACTAGTATCCAGTCAGTAGCTAACGGTCAGGAACGCGGCTAAACATCTTATACTGCACAAATAGCCTTCCACAAGAAAGAATGTCAACAGTACCATGGATGAGAAACTTTAATTTAGAGAATGATAATATTCAAAAGGGTGTTTAATTCTACTCCTGGAACTTGTGGATTGTTGTTTTTTGTTTGGAGGTGTGTGGGGAAGACGTCAAAACGCTGAGAGAGGAAGTGAAGTTTCAGCTGCATGTTGACAAGTGGCAGGGACCAGCTTAGTAAAGACTATCTTAGAAACAGTGAGGAGTCTCTTAAAAGTGTAAAAGCAATGTTATGGTTTGAATAGGAACCCCTTCAAAAAAATTACCCATCTCCTTTATTCTTTCTTGCTCAAACAAAACATCCTTTCTCTCCAAGTAGCCGGTTTCTGCTACAAGTTAAGGTCGAATTAATTCACAAAGATAGTCAGATAGCCTCTACACATCCCAGAATGTTAAACTTCATTTTAAAACATGAGAACATTCATGAGATAAAAAAAAAATCATTAACTTCTTGATAGTGGATAAAGCTGCTCTTTTTTTTTAATTCAATAGCCAGAATGGCCCTGGAGAAGACTTCTCCAAAGCTTTTCATTTAAAAAAAAAACAAAGTTTTGTTTTTCTGTCATCGATTTCTAAACCCTCTGATTATATAAAAGGTCCATTTTTTGTTTTGTTTTGTACAAGTACCTGGTAGTATAAGTTCTTCTGCCAGAAATAGGACAGCCATTTGGATTCAGTAATTGTGAATAAACGTATAAATTAGGTGGCATCTATAGTTTTTAAAAGGTTTTCAGTATTAGTCATGAAGGCTACTGAAAGAAATTTACTTCTTAATGCTATCACTAAGAAAAAAGCCCAGTGTTTTAATACAACACAAACTTACTGCCCGCTGAGCTAGGCGCCCATGTTCTGACCTAGTATGGCAATTCTTAATGTCTGGCGCTGGGTGTTCTATTTACAAGAAACTGAGGCCTGACACTAAGGAAGAACAAAGAAAAATGCCTGGCACTAAAGGTGCAGGGGATGTTTTGTACATAAGTGAAGATTTGAGGAGGCACACTTTCTCAGATTTTGAAAGGCAATATAAATTATTTTCTGCTTACATGTTAAGAATTTATTTCGTGTTTTAATACCATTCCCTAATAAGAAAATACCTTATAATTTAGAAAGAGCAATTTGTCTCCCCCTATATTTGCTGACCATTAAGCGGGATAAAATTTCCTTGGGCTTTACCAGGGTGAGAGGAATGGAAATAATGTGAGCACAGCGGAGTTCGGAAGCAACATCAACTCCAGGCACGGCCAGCTGGTTTCCATCGAGAGTCCCCAGGAGAATGCCCCTCCAGCCAAGGCCAGGCCGGCGCGGCAGCGAGACCCCTGCCCGGGGCGCCGGGGCCCTGGAGCGCAGGGCAGAGGTGCAGTCCGCCCGGCCTCCGTTACCTTTGTCTCAGGTACACCGCTACCAGCCGCTCTGGGCTTGCACCCGCGGCCCCGCAGCCGGTGACACATCCTTTGGCCAACTCGGGCCAAGGCTGGGCAGGGGGCGGGGAAGGAAAAAAAAGCCTCAGCGCCTACAGACGTGACTCTCAGTTCTTCCAGGACGCTGGCATTTGCTTCTCTGCCAAGCTTTCTGGTTCACAAGTTCCTGAGGACTACGCGGGGAAACCGGCCCGGGAGCCCGGAGGAGTGGGAGGCG